ACCGCCTCCTCCGCCCCCGGCGGCGCGACACTGCTGAGAAAGCGCGGTTTACGGTTCTGCCGTAAAGCAGTTCGTCCGGAACATCGTTGCTCACCCTTGGAAGGTGAGAGGACATGAACGGGAATGGCGGGAACAAGGCCTTGGAGCTGCTGCGGTCGCTGCCTAGAGTCAGTCTGGCCAACCTAAGGCCCAGTCCAGGCTCCAAAAAGCCGGTAAGTGCCTGCCCCTTGTCGGGAGGCTGGCGGGGGGGGCTTTCCTCCCGCGTGACGGCACCTCGGCAGCAGGCGCGCTTGGCCCTGATGGCGGTTGCCTCGAGAGCTGTCAGAGGGCCTTCGGGAAGGCTGTGGCAGGCCCAGGAGAGTGGCCGAAACAGGCGTGGGAAGGCTGAGGAGTGGGTGACAGTGTTGTGTGTTGGGCCTGTTCTTGTCCTTTGTATGTCTTGTAGCCGGTGTGTATAGCCATTCCTACAGAGAACTGTTTGATGAGCGGCCCTAGCTAAACCTCGGGGCAGTCGTTGGGGGGTGAGAGGGAACAGAAAAAAGTATGGAATACCAAATGTTTATGGGATGGGGTAGTACATTTGAAAAGAGAAGGTTAAAAGACTTAACAAGAAAAGGAGCATAATGCCAGCCCACAATTCTTGTTACTATTGCTTTCTTGAAAACAAACCAAAATGTTCTTTTCCTTGTCTCCTTGTAAAGCAACAGAAGAATAAAGAAAAGAAATGAGCAAAAAAGCCACCTGATCTGGGGGAAATATCAGTGAACAGGAGGATGAGGCTCAAGGGCTAAAGTCATAGAACCAGATAACTGAGAGGGGACTCCAAGCAGAGCTTCTGTGAGAGTGCTCAAGGCTCTGTGGAGATGCTTACAGAGCTGCTGAGTGCAGCATAGTTGTAACCCTGGAAACCTCTGACAAGACAAGAGAATGGAAGTTTTTCCCCCCTGAAGCTGTTGGGGTTCACCTGTCAAGTTACTTCACTTGGAGGTGTGAACACCCAGCTTGGCCAGAGTCAAATGGACCTGGAAGAATAAGCCCTCCACAGGGCTGGAATGATGATTAGTAAGGTTTTTCAAACTAATCCAGGCTCCAAAGTGGTATTTTCAGGTTTAGCATCCAGAAGTTGTGACATAGTCTAGAACCAATGTTTTCCTGATAGTGTTGGTCTCAGGACTTTTTGTTTTTTCAAGATAGCTGTTTGGTTTAGGAAAACACTTTTATTTTGAAAGTAGAGATTTTTGTATGCTCACTGGGTCTTTAGCAACTCCATCTAGGAAATAAGCTTTTTTTTCCTCATGTGACTGCTCACTATTTGCCTTCAGTTAGAATTTGTTAGAGTGACTTCAGTTCTGTTTCTCTGGTATTTTTCTTTTGGTGTCTGACAACCTTATTCTGTGCTTAATTAAGTTCTCAAATAAGCAGATTTAAGAGAATTTGGCTTCATAAACAGAAGCTGCAGGGAAAAAAACCCCCACATGCTTTGATTGGCTCCTCAGGTAATCTGAAAGCTGGTCAGTGTACTGATTACATTCCATTTGTGACCAGATGCTGTCATTGTACTTGTGTTAACTGAAGTCACCGTGTAATCTGGCGTGCGTATGGGCAACTGCCAGAAAGGGTGAGCCAACTGTGCCCTCCCTTCTGTCTCCAGGTGCTCACACCTGCTGTGTATTGTGTACTGCTGCTAGTGGTTGTGTGGTGAGCCAGAGCAGGGAACTAAACCAGCTGAAAACTAATTAGAAAAAATTAGTTGTCATCCAGTTTAATTTCCTGACCTGTTAGCACAGAGCTGGGGGCAAGTCAGCTTTCTTTGGTGGCAGGGGTAGTCTAGTCTAGCATGAAACTGCACTTGAACTCTGTACTACTTACTCGTAATTATTGCAGGTAAGCTGCACAACTTAGGTCAGATTTCAAATATATTGATACATGTTTTTCTGAAGTATGTCTGTGCTGACTTTACTAATATTTCAGCACACATTAAGTGCTCCATAACTTTGGGAAACTTACAGACACAGTAAAGAGCATAAAACATAAAATTTTTCTGTCTTTGTAATATTAGGCTAATAATCAAGTACCATGATGTAACAAGCTTTACTCAACATTCTGTCCTGCAGTTTAACTGCATAGGGTGATTTGTAGGATTAGGGGTGCATGAAGTTTGGCTGAGTGCTGAATACAAAAAAAGAGAAACTGAAGAGGCCTACTGTATTCTCTTTAATAATGAATTATTTACATTATTATTGATCCAACAGTGACTGTGCTGTGACTTAACCAACGTTAGCTTATAAGAAGTACAAATACTGTTTAGAATGTGTTGCTTTACATATCTCCCAGCCTGACTGATTCACGTTGAGGAACACAATGGAAAATTGCAGATGTGTGAATTGTGTTGTGCAGATCTGAGGCTAGTTAGGAACGTGACGTTGCACCTTCCATGTGCGTTCACGCTCCATTGAATGTTAACTTAAATGGGAAAAGCTTTGTAAGACCAAATGGATCCATCAAAGCGCTGCACAGCTGTGATCGTGCCTCTTGGAGCTGAACAGCAAACTCCACCACGTGAAGCACAGCAGCAAGGATTTTGAAGTTTGTGGCTCTGTCTTGTCCCTGACAAAGCATGAAGAAATCGAAGTGAGCCTTAGTGCTGCAAATTCTTTAGTATATTAATTAAATGAAGTCACCTTACACAGGAAAGTTTATTAGTTAGGTCAGAATGAGCTGGCACTGCTTCATTTAATAACGGTCAATCCCAGCTGCTCATTTCCACCCTTGCTTACTGCCTGTTTTGTAATCCTATAGATACTTGCATACCCATGAATTGTACTGAATTGGGGCAACTGACCTGAATTTTAAATTAAAAATAATAACTGACCTGAATTTTAAATTAAAAATAATAATAATAAAAAAATTACCAAGATTTTACCTTTGCTTATGTCTTTGATCCTGTTCACCAGGCACACTGTTCCTGCTGGCACAAGTAGGAGGTGAGGGCAAGAAGATTGCAGAATTGCTACTTTAAAGTGCTCAGGAAACGAATAGCTTAGTATGACAGTCTTAATTTAAAAAATAATAAAGGTGTAAAATACAATCTTCTCTTTTGATTTGTAGTCAGTAGAAATTGCAGCAGTTGCAGACTCTGTAGGAAGTCTGAGTCCGTGAAAAGAATTACATGTGTGCATGGCATATGTAGTCTGGTCCCCTGCCCCTGGAGGTAGAACTGATTTTTTTTTAAAATTTTTTTAAAATATCTTTTTTCATTGTCAGTATGCAGAAACTTTTGAGCACTGGGCAACTTTCTCCTGAAATAGGCAGAAATATCAATAGCTGATTAAGGAAAAAACTAACTTGGAGAGTGCAGGGTCTGAGAGGTAGGATTTAATACTACTATTCCTTTTATTGCAGTATGTGTTCATGTAAACTTTCAGACTCTTTGTGGTCTGCCTAGAGCTGTGCTCTGCCACAATCCCATTAATTGCTTTTCTGACTACTTTTCCCTTTAGAAAAGAACAATCTCTTATTTTTTTCTTCAGGAATCAGCATTTTGGTCAGTTATTTATATCTCTGAAACCTTATGTTTTGTATATACTTATCTCCAAAGTAGTTGACTAAATGTATCATTGATTGTTTTCAAGGAAAAAAGACGTGGCCGTGGAAGATACAGAGGTAGGAAGTGTGGTCGAGGTCACAAAGGAGAAAGACAAAGAGGAAATCGCCCCCGATTAGGCTTCGAGGGTGGTCAAACTCCATTTTACTTGGCCATACCGAAATATGGGTTTAACGAGGGACATAGGTAAGTTTCTTCACATTTACTCAGAAATTAATGGTGTGCTTTTTTGGTCTTTCTCCTGAAGCCAGAATCTAATGTGCCAAAACAGGCCTGACTGAAAATGAGAGATACCTCTTAGGTTGTTACCTTCCTTACCAGCAGAATCTCCCATTTCTTAGGATTTTTTTTTTTAATGAATTCACGTATTTTCTGTTGTTTTGCAGCTCTGCTTATGTACCCTTTTTTTTTTTTTTTCAATGATCCCTCCTATGCAGCAGGCTCCCCTTCCTCCGAGAACTGAGTGCATTTCTCCTCTGAGACCGCTCCTCCATATGCCCGTGTTCTCTCTTTGCCTGTCTGCTCAGCGGATAACTTACTGACCTTACTGGGAACAGTGCCATTGATTCCAGTGAGGATGTTGGGCATGGAAGTGTAATCCAAAGCCTCGCTTTGTTATTTCTCTTCCCTTTATTCACCTCAAGCTCTGATCTGCTGCTAGCCAAACAATTCTGCTTCTCTTCATGATTCTGCTTTTTTAGCCCTGCAACACTGCTGACTTTGTCTGTCTGTGCTCCATCTTTTCCATCCAGGATCTCAGCAAGCTCTTTAATATTGGATCTACTGGATGAGGCCATTAAGTTCTCTTTCACCATTGTTCACCTCAGGCATTCTGCCTTGTTTGACAATCCTGTCCTCTTTTCACATTCTGCTTGTTTGTGCTATGTCCCTCTTCCAGCTTTTCAATGTTTTATAATTATTCTTCTAACATGTCTTTTCTCCAGTCACTGTTCTTCGCTGGAGAGCTGTATGCCAGTGTTCTAATAATTTCCTTCACTTATATTGACAATTACAAAATCTTGATTTTTAAAGTTTGTTGTTGTTTAAAGCTGGTTTTGTTTCCTAAGGTAGCATGTATGTTACCTGGGTCACTAACCCTTTTGTTGCTTGTAGGTATGGTCATGAAAATTTCTGTACCCACACGATGCTGTTACAGGCAGTAGTAGCAGAAACATGCCACACCGAGCAGACAATCCAAGAATGAAGAGACTAGCATGTCTTTGTGAATTGTTAAAACTTGCAGTTTGATTTCATGTTTCGTTTGCTGATACAACTTCATCAGATAGCTGTTCATATTTCCATTCTTTATGCATGCAGTATAACTTACAGACCTGTCCTGGTTATTAAAGGTTTTCTCTGTGAATCTTAACTCATTCTGCAGTGTAATTCAAATTCTGTTTTCAAGTACTGTCATTTCCTCCTGTTTGCTTAATTTATTATAAGAGTAAATGAGAAACACTTTCAGTAGCTGAAGACAGAGTGTAGATCTGCAGTCCTATGAAGGAAGTGCTGCAGAATGCAAACACTGAGCTTCTTACGTTAACAGTGGTCGCAAGTTCATGAATAACCAACAACAAACCTCCAAGTTTCTGCAGTGATAAGAAATGAATAGGGTAATTCTGCTTCCACCTGACAGCATGTGGAAACAAAAAGTACTCTGTAATTTCTTTTCAACGTTGTTAGCAAAATTTCAGTTTGAGGCTATTGTAAACGTTTTTCTAGTGAACATTGTCAGTGCACTTGGGAGACGCTATCGTGGCAGGATGGGAGCATGCTGAACAATGTCTCTGCCTGTTTATCTTCACCTCACCCTCCTTTCTGTCTGCAGTGATGTTCCTCCTCTTGAACTTTTGCTCTGATGGGAACTGTCTGACAGCGCAAATTCCGTTGCTTTTCTTCCTTACTCAGCTTGCCAGTAACAGAGATGAGCTGCTTCTCAGTCTTTCTGCTACCGCTCACAGATTTCCAGTAGCAGTGGTCAGGCTGATTGTACAATTGAGTTTTGAGCATCAACGTGAATGGTATGCAGTAGGGTTAGACACTGAGATCAGGAAAACTGTTCTAATGGGGTGTGTGTGTAATAAAGTTAGAATTTGATAGCAGCGCAACAGTAGATCAGTAGATTCTACTGAAGCTGATGGCTATTGACAAAATATTCCAACTTCTCTTGGGGATGTGGGTTAATTTGTATTTTCTCAATATTTATTTTCCTTGATGGTATTTTGAGGAAGTTTTCATTCAATACTTGGGAGATGTCAGACAGTAGTAATGGACTAAAAAAATCTTGTTAGATATAGGCAAGCTATGCAGGAACACATAAGGGGTTTGGCTGATAGTCTTTGACTAAACTTATCTGAGGGGAGAGGGTGTATTTCCTTTTGACTGTGTATTTTTTCATCAGATTTTCTGAATATATCAGTGAAGCTACCAAACTGGATTCATTTTGAAGATGGTAGTTGTTTAGGAATTTGTTGGGTTACCAAGAAATGCTGACCCTTTAATTTCTTTGCCTTTTTTGCTTCTTTAATCCAGTCAGTAGTTAGAGTGGTATTCCAGAGTAAACTGAGCTCAGCAACAGCGAAATGATTAATACCATATTGGAGGTGTGGGTGTGTCAGCAAACTTGAAGGCATAATGGAAACTTGGGCTGTAATTAGGGCTTGTATTTGCATTAAATTAAACTTTTGCCTTATGGATAGGTGTGTTTTAAGCATTTACTTAGTTTTAGGAGCGTATAGGAAATGGAATCAGTGTGGTGTATCTTATTTAACCAGTTCCTGTTAAAGCTTCAGTTTGGTAAATTTATCTTTTGTTGTTGTTGTTTTTTGTTTGTTTCCTCTCTCCACAGCCTCAGACGTCAGTACCAACCACTCAGTCTTCAGAGGCTGCAGTACCTGATTGATTTGGGTAGACTTGACCCCACGCAACCAATTGACTTAACACAGCTCACTAATGCCAGAGGTGTAACAGTGCAGCCTCTCAAAAGGGATTATGGCGTTCAGCTGGTGGAGGAGGTGGGCATACAAGACTCTTGTTACATCAGGCAGTATAAAACCTTGGGGTTTTGTTTTTTTTCTGTACCGGCGTGTCGGATTGCCCTTCCCGAGTGTTGGAAGCACCTCTGATTTCCTCGCTGGTGGGCTGTGGGTTTTTTGCGGGGACAAATCCGCTAGAGGGCAGTGTGTGTTAGCAGGAAAGGGTAGCTAGGGAGCACGGAACAAGAGGTGGAACAGGTACTTTACCACCGAAGACAAGAACGTACTGAAAGAAAGAAAGGCAGAGGTGTTTCTGTGTTTGGGTTTTTTTTCCATTCAAGCCAGGTGACTGCGTGAGAGTTATTTGGTTACCCGTCTTGGTGCAGGGAATAAACAAATCATGGTATTTTACAGGCTTTAACATTTCTTACAATTTTGCAGAGAAGAAAAAATGTATGTCCTAAAATAATAATTTTAATGTTACCCTAATATGTGTTGAAATTTACAGGGTGCTGATATTTTTGCAGCAAAAATAAATATTGAAGTGCAGAGGGCATCTGAATTAGCAATTGCAGCTGTAGAAAAAAATGGAGGTGTTGTTACAACATCATTCTATGATCCAAGGAGTTTGGGTAAGAATTCTGTTTTCATTTCTGCCTTTCTTTTTTTTTGAATGTGAGAAGATTAAATGATCCAGATCAAACTTTCAAACATAGTTCTTACTGGAAAATCATCCCCTTCTATTCTAAAAGCGTCAACAACACACTGTTATACAAATGTTGAACTGTAATGTATGCTCAGTTTTGCCTTTTTTAACCATTCACCTGTTTAGCCCTGCTGTTGTTAGTAGTCACGTACCAATCAGCCAGTTGAAGAAATCCAAGTAGATTTTATTAAAAAAAGCTTATCAAAGATTGTTCCTTTGAATTTTTGTCTTCTTTCACGTGTTTAATAACACTAAGAAAATTCAGGAAAAAAAAAAGACTTAAAATACACTATGGATGGTTATAATTTTAATTTAAAATACTTTTCTAGTTAAAGTGAGGAAATAACTAAGTTGCAGAAGCTCAGAATCGTTCCAGGCAAAAAGGCTATTGTTTTCAGATCACTTTCACTGAAGAATGAGGCTTTGCTTTGCTTGAGGCTGCATCCTGCCTAATATTCATTCATGCAGCTTTTATTGACAATAATGGACCTTTCATGTGTGAATGAGGCTGAGAACAAGAGGAATAGACATTTTCAGTGTGCAAAATAGGTTACTCTGGAGTGATACAAGTTCTTTTTTTTCCAGTCCAGAAAATAATCAAAATATTAAGGTTAAAAGTATCTGGAATATAATTTGACAAGTTCAGTAAAACTTGAGGAGAGGGTAGTTACACAAATGACTAAATAGGTGCACATGCCACTGATTCTTTATTTAAAATACTTACAGAAACACTAAATTTTACATTTGTTGGTACACTGTGTGAATAGCCATGAAAATGCATTGCTTCCAACCTGGAAGTCAGTCCTTTAAATAAATGACAGCATCTAGCTTATTGTTTCTTTCCAAAGTAGGCATTCTAAATGCATTAGAAGTAATGATTCATCCAGAATGTCACCATAGATATCAGTTAAAACAGAGTTGTTTGGTTTGTAAATGAATCTTGTAAACCACTGTCTCATTCTGAACAAGAATATTCTCAAGATTTGGGTTCTTGCTTGATGTATATTAAAAGAGTTTAGTAATGTGTTCAGCACAAGATGCCAAATAAGGAGGTGTCATTTAATGTCTTTTAAATATGTATTATAAAGCATAGTATCTAATTTTCTCTTGTTTGCCCACAGAAATTTTATGTAAGCCAGTAGTGTTTTTTCTGCGCGGCCAGCCTATCCCAAAGCGAATGCTTCCACCCGAAGATCTAGTCCGTTACTACACAGACGCCGGGAATCGTGGGTACCTGGCAGATCCATCTAAGGTTGCGGAAGCCAGGCTTGAACTTGCCAAGAAATATGGCTATGTCTTACCAGACATTACTAAGGATGAGCTCTACAAAATGTTAAGCGCACGCAAGGATCCTAGGCAGATATTTTTTGGTCTTGCTCCAGGATGGATTGTAAACATGGCAGACAAGAAAATTCTAAAACCAACTGATGAGAAGCTGTTAAAATACTATAGCTCATGAATTCAGGACTGGAGACAACTGCAGGTGTACAGGAAACATCTGGGTATGAAATAATGGATACGAAGTGGTGTTGGGTGGTGTGTTTTTGTTGTTTTTTTTGTTGGGTTTTTTTTAAGGCTCCTGTTGTACTAGACAAAACAGAAACTTTTGTTTATGTAATCTTCTGGTGTAGCTTTCAAATTTTTTGTTGTCATAATACAGTATATGAAAAGTCTTAACATTTGGAAACAGTGTAGAGTCTGACATAAAGTGTGTTGTGTTTGGACACTTTATCTTGTGGTGATTTGCCAGTTACTTTTTCAGACAAAGTGTTTCGATGTTGCGTTTATTTCAGAGGCTGATTCCAAAGAGTAACTTGACTTAATAGTTAGTTTCTATTCACCCCTATCTCCTTCACCTATCTTCTATTCACCCCAGTTTAAAAACAGAAACATGGCAATACAAAACTAGTATTAGCTTTACAGTCATATTACATAAATGATAACGTTATGTTTCAGAAGATTGTATCTCGCATACCTCTGAGAGGTAGAGCATCGATTTTTTGGATCGGTAAAAATGAAAAACTACCGGAAATAACAAAGTATAGAAGAATTCATTAACCTCTTTAATTCCATAGCAATGATTTGGATTTTGCCACTGCCATCAATAGCACTAGAGTTTGAGAGGTTTTTCCTTTACTCATTCAGGTGGAATTGAGAAGGGCAGGGTATGCAGTTTAAAATAACCTTCTGTGTAAAGTTAGGGCGCGGGGAAAAAAAGATAGCTATCTTAAATCAGTCACTTTCATTATTCGAACAGAATTTAAAACTTGTCGCGACACAAATGTAGTGTCATTAATAAAAATGCCTAGCAGAATCCAGAGTCAATTAGACAGTGACAGTAGATTGTGAAGGATGGGGATGTGATGGACAAAGTACACAATTAGGATTCAGTCTTCAGCTTGATCACAGACTGCATATGTGACAGTGGACAAAGGAATTTAGATCTTGTGAAAAGTTAAAACCAAATTATTTTTATGGGAAACAGTATTTTAGTCACACCAACTTGATAGAATCTTGAAAAATGTTTTCCAACAAATGTTTTTTTCATCTCTCCAGAAAATTATGTTATTACTAAACAGGAGTATTCTAGGTTTAAAACAGAAGCTTAGGATTGGGCAGCCAAGCAGTAGTATATCGAAAGACTAAGTTAATCTATCAGAACTTGCTTTGACTCCTCAGAAGTTAATGAGATGCTTCATAATTAAATGAACTTTAATGAAATCTGAATTTGGCTTTAATATGGGGATAATTTCGTTCTTAGTCTGGAAGACCACAATACAAGTCTTGCTTTCCAATTTTTCATGTGCCTTTGGAAATGCTACATATAGTTTCCTGTAGGTGCCAAACCATTCCATCTCCTAGGGAAAGGCCTCTGAGTGCCAGTCTCCTGTTTCTCCTGTACAGCACCTGTATTTCGCCTCAAGGGGCAGGATAAAAAAAAAAAATTAAGAATACCTTCTTTTTCTTTCAGAGAATAACAAGAAGCGGATGAATTTTTTTTTGTCAACCAGCCGAGATTTTTGCTTTCCTCAACAAAACTGCCTTGTCAATTAATATGAGCATCTGTAATTGCAAAACAAAATAAAAATAAAACAAGTCGTCTCTTCTCATGCTGATTAAATAACCTGAAATCCAGAGAATAACAATGGAAAGTCACTAATTTTTGACAACTTGCTCTTCAGCTTCTATTGTTTCTTGTTAACGTGTGTTAGATCGTATCAGTAACGATCGTTCTCCTGACTTGTGGTTTAAGTATAGGTGAAACACAGCAAAACAACACCAATATAAAATTGGATTATGAATAGCAGGAATTTGGTCTTAGTGGTGTTAACATTCATATTTTATAAGGTGCACAACACTTTTTTTTTGGCACATTAAGAATAATACCGAGTGCCAAAAAAACTATAGCTAGTGTTAGCTTGAATGTGAAGTAAATAACTTTCTCACTTTAGATGTATCCTGTTCTGCATCCTGATGATTGTTGGTTTGGAACCCTAAATGACAAGCAATACCTTTTTTTTCTTTTTTCTTTTTGTTATTACAATACTACTGCCTCCATTTGGGAAGAAGTTGGAGGGGAGGGAGAGTATTTATTGCCTTCCCTTATTTGTGCCATAATGTTTCTGTTTTTATGAATCAATTCACAATTGTATTTTGTCGAGGTGGTGGTACTCAACAGGAAAGCTACTTAACTGGAAGCGAAGAAGGAAGTTAGTCATATTAGTGAAGACCAGAAGACAAAAGTGTTTATGTATCACTGTGTATTTTTGGGAGGAGAAGAGGGGGGAAGGCAACTTTGTTTCCACTCCTGCTCTTTGTATTAAAATGAACAAATTGCTCTCAGCAATTCTTTTTTTTCTAAATCAATTTCTTTGATACACACACGCGTGCACGCGCTGGTTTCTGTAGGTTTCTAAATGGTTTTCAGGTGAAAGGGTAACTTGGATAAAATGATAACAGTGAAAGAAAGAATGAAAACAGGAAACAGATGTCTGGTGACGTTGAGGGATTGGATAGCACTTATTCAGTGAACGTCGTCTTAGTCACAAGGCAGCTGTATCCTGGCTCTGATACTATAACGCTACAAATACCTTGGAGCCAAAACAGCCACGTTCCGCAAAATCCGGTCATTCTACTTTATAAAGGTGATCTTTTATCATCTTAAAATTGCAGAGGGCAAAAAAAGGGCTGTATGTTGCTTTATTTAAAATATGCAATGCTTGTCTTTTTTTCTCACTTCTGTTTACAGAAGTATTTTATAAGGGTGGTTCTGATTTTTATTTACTAGTGAAAAAAGTGACAAGGCTATAGAGGATTTCCTGTTCACTTTATCTCGTCAGGAACACAAGTCTCCTAGCAACTGAGTGTATGAATTATCAACAGCACAAGTAAGTTATTGACAAGGTTTCTAATAAATCCATAATAAAAAACCTCCCAATAGACTCTTGTTTGTATGAGGGTCAGACTCACTGATGCAGGACTCTTAGCTTAGCACTGGCATCTAAGGCCATTCTTGTTACTTAGGAATGTGTACCGTGTGTTCATGTTCATAAGACAAACGATTGCCTTGGATATCCTGTTTTGATAGGGGTTTTTGATATGCAACAATATATTTCACAGCAAGAAGCACCCAATCTGCTGTAACCGGAAAAGCATTATCAAGTAGCTGAGGAAAAGAAATGTTACTTATGCCATAAAAAACTGAAAGCCATGTCAATTTTTACCAACAACGTAATACTTCTGAATGGTTCTTTGATAAAACTGCGTACGTGAGGCAAAATCAAGGCCTCTGAACGAGTACATACATTGTTATATCTTGATTAGAAATTAGAAATCGCCTGTTTCTTATCAGACAGACTCGGCTAACAGTAGCCAGTCAGTACATGGCTGATTGCAGACCCAAAATGAAACAAGTTAAAATATATACATTTTCCCTTTTACGTATATGTACAACAAAGACACAATGACTTTTAGTTCATGTTATAGTATTGGTGTTTAACAACAAAAAGTTGACTGTACTGTTCAATGATTTCCACAAAGGAATAAATGAATAAATCAGTGGCCTTGATCTGAATCTTTGCTGGCAGTGTGCCAGCATTGTTTTGACATACAAGCATAATTGATGTTGGTGCTCCAGGAAGTCATATAAAAGTGATCAATTATGAAGATAGCTTCCCATTGCTATTTTATGATTTTCTATTTTATTGCTAAAACTTAAAATACTAATGCAAAGGTGATTTTGCACTGTTGAACGCTCACAAGTTGTGTAAAAATTGGTCTCCAATTTGAATTTGTTCCACAAGTTCTGTATTTTAAATATTGAAGTGTTTTATTTTAGATATATCTAAATAAGAAAGGTGATGTGACTGTCTAAAACGGCCAGTTGAATATTCCATATGCAGATTGATTTCTTAAAATTTCCGGATTGGTGATCAGGTGGGAATAGTTTTACATAACGCACAGTCTGTACTTGAGTATATTGTTATGGTTTAGTCTATGAATTGATGTAGTTAGAAGTCCACATCTGACAGAATTCTTACCCATTAGGGAAAATTTACGAACTTTTTAAGCTCCTTCATCTCCTAGTGCAGGTGGCCCATCTTGGTCTTTTGTAGCAGAAATACATGGTATTGTCTAAAGAATTACTGGTTTCTCAGTGGAAACAAATATCCTCAGATCTATTCTGTATCCTTTGGTTAATACTCCCTCTGTTGCATCTGCATCTTCCCGAGGTCTCTTCTCACTTCTCCTGTTGTGGTGGGAACTACTGGGCTCGATCATTCTCACAGTGTCATCCTGTCTGGCCCACTCTGGGTTTGAATATCTGGTTGTTTTATGTGCCTCTGGAGCAGGAAAAGTGTTGATCATTCCTGCATCTGTTTATACGAGAGGGTTTTTCATGGCTTGAGTTTCCTGAACTGGTGTTGCTTTTGTTGTTAAAAATGTCAAACAACAATGTTGTTTACTTGTTAACCTTGTAGATTCCAAGCCGCACGCCGCTTGAGTTGGAGGGGCCTTTGAGCAATGGATTTGGAGTTTATTCAGAGTCAAGGAACACTCCTAAAAGGGTGTTTGTGCACTTAACTCAGAATTACACGTGCTAGATACAAGCCTTGGTAGGAATTTTTTGTGTTCAGTGCATCAATGCCCAAATCAGTCTCTCCCTGCACTTTTGGAAATGCAGCCTCTGTAAGGTTAGTTCTAATTTCTTGATCGTGTTGTCCTATCTGCTCTCTAGTCTCTTAATAAGGGCAAGTCTGCCTGAAAGTCTGCTGTTTCTTGATGTTTATATTGTTGTTGTTACTCTGTCTATCAGGGACAGCTGGAGGTTTGCGTACACAGCACAGTCTATGAAAAATAAGTTGCTGTGTGAATTTACAATAAACAAGTTCTCTATTTTTGGGGTTTTTTTTTTTTTTGTTTGTTTGGTTTTTTTTTTCAATGCTGGTGTAATTTGCCTTGCTCCCAGTATGGAGTACCTTAAATTAAGAAAATAAATCCACTTTTAATATCTGACAAGGGAGGTGCTTTC